CTCCCACTCCCCCTGCTTGTGTTCCCTCTCTCGCTGTGTCTCTCTCTGTCAAATAAATAAATAAAATCTTTAAAAAAAAAAAAAAAGAAAATGTGATTAATCAAATCTCTCCAGATTGGCATTTTTGTAAAATACTGCAGTGAGGAGAATGCTGGATCTGGTGACGGGATACCGTGATTCTCCTCTGAGCTCTGCCCGGCCATGTTACCTTGGAAAAGTCACCTCAGTTCTTTGGCCTTTGTTTCTCCACAAGAAGGGGGAAAACCAAATCATCTCTAAGACCTATTTCAACTCAGAGAGCTTTGATGCTATTCAGTATTGGTAGAACCTCAAAAAGGTTAGAATCCATGAAGCAGGGGCCGGTCTCTGATACTTTATAATTTCTGTCTTTGCTGAAGTACCTATTTGCCTATCACTCTGAGTGCAGGGAACTCTTTCTGTACTGGTGACGAGACTCAGAGCACCCCTGCCGTGCCCATTCCATGATTCTTGTTACAATGCTTGGTACGAATTTATATTACAAGCAGAATGCTTTCTGTTTTGTTTCAACAGCTGGACCAAGCAACTCTCTCCCTAGCCGTGAGGGAAGACTACCTGGATAATACCACAGAAGCCAAGTCTGTAAGTTTGACTCATATTCACCACTGTGCCTTGTCAGACTGTTGTTGGGTTCATAAATTGTTCTAAAATTCCTGACTCTTTACTGGAAATGAACAGTGTGACTGTTTGATGACCATGTTGCCAGTGCAGGAGGCAGAGGCCTTTTATTCAGTCAGACACATGGCACTTCCTGTCTTCAGAAAGTCTGGCCGTCAACGCTCAGGGCCCTCATGATCGAGCTGGGGAGACAGCACACCTGAATGAAGTAATCAAGAAATGAGCTTGCAGCCTTTCCTCAGAACTGTAGAGAGCTCACTGTACATTGCAGAAGTAAAGTGTGGAGATTTGACTGGGTTGACATAGTCAGTCAATGGTTCTCAAATTGTATGGCTTAAGAGTCATCTGGGAACCTCCTGTTAAATGTCGATTCTTGGGCCACAGCCCAGGAGAGGCCCATGTAGGAGACTTGAAGTGGGGTCCAGGAATCTGTTTTCTTAACAGATGCCACGGGTTAATGCAAGGTTAATAAGAACCAGATGGGATCAGTTCCGATAGACTTCTTGGGTTGGCTGGGAAACCTAGTAGTTTCCTGGAGATTGGAGTAGAGCTGCTTCATTCCTGACATTTTCAATTCATTTTGGAAACATGGTTGAACTTCCAAAGGAGCCTCAGACCCAGGGGACCCTTGACTAGGGAGTTCACTGGTTTCTGGCCCAGCCTAAGAATGTAGGAACATAGATTGGGAAGTGTTGGGGTCACAACGGAAGTCCCTACTCCTTTGCTGTTACTAAACCTTGTATCTAGAAGGTTCTGGAGGGCAGGAAGCTAGGTAAGATCTTAGGCAACTTTCTGGGTAAGGACATTCATCAAAGAAGGTTGGCATGTTTGTATTGTTCCAAGTGGATAGAATGGACTTTTGCCAATATGCAGGCACCTACCTTTCTGTTGGGGTCACCACCCTATCAGCAACCAGGCTTGAAACCCCCTCCCCCATCCCCTGTAACCAATCAGTCAAGTCCTGTGGATTCTACTTTCAAAATCTCTGTTCCGTCTGGTCCTTCCTCTCTGTCTTTACTGCCCTAGGTCAGATCCTTGTTAACTCTTGCCTTGACTACAAGTAGCCTTTAACTGTTAACTCCTCCCCTTCGTTTCATTGCCTCCTTAGCACCACTGGACAAGTTCTCTTCTCAAAGTATAGCTCCCAGCATGCTTTGATCATGACATGATCCCAGAACACTTTTGCTGCCTCATTTACTTTTGTTTTTCTCCCAACAAAGGCAGCTTACACACCTCACAGGAGGATTCTTCACTACTCTTGAACCTGTCTCCTTCAAGTGCTCTGTGCTCATTTCTCCAGGCTGGAATTCTTTTCTACTTTTTGAGTTTCCAAACACTTAGCAGCTTTGTTAAGGAACTGATTTTGGTCTCTCTAATGTTACAGTTAGTAATTACATGTTTATCTCCCTCACTGGATTACACACCGAGAACCGGACTCATGCATTATGTAATTTTTCATCTGTACCCCGCATAAGCACAGAATGCCTAGCAAGACATCCTATACATGTATTGATTGAATAAATAATTTCTTAAATTGAACTGGGAATTATAAAACATTGTTTCTAATTAAGACTCTTTGCCAAGCTTGCTTACTGATTAACAAATATTTATTAAAGCCCTGCTATATGCCAATCACTGTATAGGTCTCGAGGTCATAAACATAGCAAGAATAGCATATATAATCAAGATGTAAGGAAATCTTAGTCCCATAGCATAACCATGTGATAATTTAATATGTGGTGTATTGAGTTCTCACAAACATACCTGAAAGGAGAGGTTACCCTCAACAAGATTCCACAGTTCCCACAGAGTTAAGGTCCCTCTCCAGTGCCATATGAATAGCCTGACAATGGGTTTATGAACATGCAGGGAGGAAACTCTGTATTTGCTATTTGCTGGGTTTCTCTTTATCATTCCTCTCTTCATTCTTTTCTCCCTGAGTAGTGAGGAGAACTTTGTAAAATCCATACAAAACTGAAGAGACAAAGGGTTGCAAGCACTGGTTTTTTTATTGCTTAGTGTGAAGGTGGGTAAATTGAGCTGCAAGAGAATAAATCACAGTTTCCACTAGTCTTCATGGATCATGCCTCCTGCTTTTAGCAACCATTCTTTCCCATTATTTTATTAAAACCTCACTTGCCTGGAAAGAGGAGTCTGACCTTTAACTTTCTATTCTGGGCTCATTTGGAGATGTTTCCTGTATCTATAATATCATTGGTTGCCAGAAAACTAGTTCTCTTGATCCTTGGTGGCTGGTATCTCTGTCTCTCATGAAAACAGTCCCCCACTAGCTGCCACTCTTTCTCCCAAAGTGGTAGGTGGATGGTTGGTTTTGCCTCATGCCTGTACCATACTTGGAGTAGAGAGTGAAATTGAAGAGCATTTACTTCCACCTGCTGTTTTTGCCCTTCTCTGTCCCTGAAACGTACTTTCTAATAGGCTGTTGTCATGGTCACTTGCTTCTTTATCTCTTATAGTATCGGGATGCCCTTTACAAGTTCATGGTGGATACGGCTGTGCTTTTGGGAGCTAATAGCTCCCGAGCGGAGCATGACATGAAGTCAGTGCTTAGATTGGAAATTAAGATAGCGGAGGTAAGTCTTAATGTAAAAATCTCTTTATTTTCTTTTTCTTATTTTAAAAGTAGTATACCATGAGTGAAAATATATATAAAATATATATAAAAAGGGCATTCTCCTTTGGCAATGTCCTTTGGATCCAAGGTAGAACTAATAGCATCCCCTCTGGAAAGGAACAGGAAGAAGAACCATGATAGAAAGAAGAGCTCTTCTTTCCTTCTGCCTCCCTGCTTGAAGCCCAAGGGCCATATGCTGCCTAGCTGTGGCCAAAGAACAGCATCAGGGAGATCCTCTGACTATGTTTTCCTACACAACCTCTGTGTGGTTCCTATAGAAGAATAGTTAATAAATCCATATTGATTTGGCTTGAGTGAGAGGTTATTTTTCATTTAGTTTACTCTTTATACCAGTCCCACTCAGGGTCAGTCTGACCTAAGATCGGGCCTTTGGGAAGTCTGTTCACCCATCCTGGATGCTGGATATACAGTTTGATGTAGAAAGGGTGTAGGACATGCCAGTAAGCATTTTTTAGCTGCCATTCTGGTGCTACCTTGTACCTAACCGTTTTTCATTCTTTTCTTGCCCCACTTAAATGTCACTGTGTCACATGCTGTGTTCTTTGCAAGTTACCTTAAGTTCAGGCTCAGGGTAGAGACCTAAGAACAAACTTGAGGGAAAATAATGAGAAATCCTCACTGGTTCCCTTTGTTCAGAACATAACTTCTTTTGTAGAAGAACCAAAGTGTAAAAGCCCTGTACATTCTTAGGACTGGAGGGAAAAAATGTGAAATCTGTTTGTGGGTATACCTCGTAGTGGGGAAAAAAATGACACTTTTATCAAGTCTTGCATATGGGTTGGTAGTCTTTTATAACAGAAGTTGGTAAAAATCCTTAGTTGCATGTGAGTCCAGGTGTTGCTTGGTTTTGTGTTTGGCAAAGTGGTGGTAGGGTGTTGAGGTATGGAGTAGGGATGATTGATAAGGGTCAGGAGGAATTAGTTTCTCTCAGCTGCAGTGATGTACATGCATACCTCTCTCCAAACTCTTACTTGCAGAGCAGAAAGTTCATTCATGCATGTCACCTTTGAAGACTGTGTGAACACTGCTGCAGATGTTCTGGAGTCAAGACTGGGCCTCTAAGCCATGTCTAGAGGCCATCTGGATTCCCTTCCCAGGCAAATAGGAGGACCCAGAGCTCTAATTTGGACTGAAGCTCTGATACAGCAGGGAAAGGCCTTGCCCTGAGCCAGGGATTTGGACCAAAAAGGGAACTATAAAAACAGCTGGGCTGAGGCAAGACTGGGAATTGTTGAGAGGCTAAATGAAGTGACAAATCCATGGGGTGGGGGGAAGTAGTTGGCAGAGAGCTGAAAACAGCTCTGAGGCCAAAGGGCTTCAGTCCGGGACTGAGAGCCCTAGTAGAGGGAGGGAGGAGTGTGGACATTCTCTGAGGCAATGATTCAGATGGATCCAGGAAGCTGTTTGTAAGATTCATGAACTCTCTCCTGTGGAGGGTGAGGTGGGGGAGAAGCTGAGGGCACTGAAGCATTTAGAAAAGAGGGGGTAGATGTCCGTCACTCAGCCCTGTGTGATTTTTATCTTCAAGAATCTGTGGTGCATAGATTTTTGGCCTGCTGGTAATTCTTACCTCCATCTTTTATACCCCTAGGTCATTCAAAATTAGTGGAACACATAGTACTAGGGAAACTTCTGAAGCTGGAGAGACAGGACAACCTAGCCAAGCACAAAAAGGTCCTTATAAACACAGCCATGGAAGTGTGCATTTAACCAATACCAGCTAGAGAGAAGTGTTCACAAAGGGAGGGCACGTTGACGGAGTGGCCCTTGTGATTGGAACCAAGTAGAGTTTAACTGGAAAGACTTGATAGAGAAAATGAATCTTGGGCCAAGTCTTGAATCCTGGTTCAAACTATGGGAGTGGTGATGGTGGATGGGGGTGCCAGGGTAGGAGAGTCTTGTGTGAGGTGTGAGGTAGAAAGTGGCAAGTTTAATGCAAGAGAATCAGAGGATGGAGGGCCTTAAAAGCACGGTATGGTTTAGGGGCATGGGGAGCTGCTTCCTGTCCATGGACATGATTAAGATGGCCCTTAAGGAAGATAATCATTGCTGCTTTTCTTAGATTCAACATAGCTTAGATTTGGTGTTGGCACAGTGGCCAAGAGCATGAGTATTGGGAATAGAAAGAGTGTCAAGAGTCAAGGTTGGAGATGTAGACTTGGAAATATGTGTTTGAGTGGTAACTGAACTCATTCCCTGAGTGGTGGTGGTGGTGGTGGGGGGGGCGGTTCCTGAAGGCCAGAGAAAGCAGAGGGAAGAGGGGAGGGGAGGTAATGAGCTGTTGACACAATGATCACAGATGGCCGTGGTATCCAGACAGTCTAGTGCTCTTTAGTGAAAATGTGCCCCAAGGGATGAAGGGATGGCCTGTGGTTCATAAGCTCTTCTGGTCATTATCTGGATACCACAGGTGAAGGTGGGATGTTTGTCTCAGTTGCCTAATCTCAGTTTGGCTGTCAGACCTGAGCCAGTAATAGATTTTTGTCCATCCACATTAGAGATGAGGAAGGGATTTGGGAAGTTATTTTTGGACTGAGGGCAGTGTTTCACACTGAACAGGACAGGAAGGATTCTTCTTATTTTTTTTTTTTTTTAGATTTTATTGATTTATTTGACAGAGAGAGACACAGCGAGAGAGGGAACACAAGCAGGGGGAG